TGGCCCCCAGGCGCCAATTGACGCCCCGGTCGACCCCCGCGAGGGCGCCCGTGGAAATCGAGGGCCATCTGGCCTGGCCGAAAGGTTTCTCGCACATCAACATGCACTTGTTCTTCTCGCGCCTGCAATGCTCGAACGCGGACGTCGGGTTTTTGAATGCGACTTCCCCTTGGCGTTTCTGTTCGCAAACGAGCCGCTGATGCACGGCGCTCTCCTCAGAAACCTGGCGCTTGCACTGGCCTCGTCGTCGACGACCCTCTGCGCGGTCTCTCCCTCGGGCTTCCGGCGCCCAAGGGGCTTCGCGTCGGGCGCGCGTCACTTGTCGCTCGAAATAATCGGCGCGCCTTTCCACCTGTTTCCACGCGGTGACCTCGCGTCCGGCTTGCGATCGGATGAATTCCTTGAGCTCGGTGCCCAGCTCTGTCTACGCAGCAACGCCCTGTCCGCGCAGCACTGCTTGCCGCGCTTCGTCTCGCCGCTGCTTTCGCCGGTAGTCCTCGCGGCAGCCCCGTGGGTTTCTATTCCTTCATCTGCACGCCGTCGCAGTCGCGCTGCTTGGAGCGCCGCTGCGTCCTGCACGATTATATCTCTGCCTTGGCTGCGACCCAGGCGCTCTGAATGTTCGGCTGGCCCCTGGTCCTCTGGTTGCGCGCTGGCTTTCCAGCTCCTTCTCCATATCCCTGAACCGCCTGCCTGCTTGCCCAGCTCCGTTGCTCTTGATCCTGCTCCTCCTGCTGCCTTCACGGTGCTCTGCTTGGACCTTGCCCCTACTTGTAGCTTTCCATCGCCGCCATACGCCTCTACATTGTTTCATTCGTCTCGCTCATGGTCTGGAGCGCCGATTCCACAGCTGGCGGTGACCCCGACGATCTGGCCCTTGAAGATCGCCTGGGAGATGATCTGGAAGTGGGTCTGACGGGCTTTCTGGAAGGGGATATGCACATGCGGCCCTGGTCCTCGTCGTCCTCCTCCTCGCCCTGGTCCTCATCATCGATCCTCTTCTGCACCGAGGCTATCTGAAGTGTGAGCGCGCGGTGCTGTTTCTGGTTTTTCTCCTGCTGATCTTCTGGATGCGGATTTCCACATTTCCCCTCTTGCGCCGCAACTCCATGGACCAGCCCCGGTCGTTCCTCGTCTGGAGCAGCGCGAGCTTGATGGCAGCGATGGTTTATTCTTGGGCCGTCGTCCGCGCGCCCGCCTCTATCGCCGCGATCAAGAGCCTGGCGCACCTGTCCAGCTTGTCGTAACATCATTGTTTAAACTTCTCTGCGTCGGCGCCTTTCTCGGGGGGCTGGATACAGCGCTGTCTGCTAAAGGCGTCGCCGAAGTGGGGGCGATCGGAAACTTGTCGATTGCGGACCTGATTCGTGCCTTCACGCACTCGTTGTCGCCCTCCTGTCGCCATGGTCGGGTTGCCAACTCCTGTTCGGACGGTACTGGCTGGGTAGCGCCAGGCCGTGCTCGTCGAAGCTGGCCCCGCCCTCGCCGTTCATCATGTTGCTGCACGTGGCGCTGCTGTTCTGCCACCTGCATGGCCAAAACTTGCTTGGCACTTCTTTTCCACATTGTGTACAGTTGCCTGTTCAACTCGCCCACGACTCGCCCCAGGCCCATGGTAAGGCTACCGGGCGCTGTGTTGGTTGTCCAGGAGCCTCCTCGCGCTGGCGACCCTGAGGAAGGTCCGCGCATGCGCCGTCGCTGCGCGCTCTCGCCAGTGCCAAACAGGCTCGCGCATCTGCGTAGCTGTTGACGGCGGCGCGCGGCTGGCCGCGGCTATGGCGCGGGCCGTGGCCTGCGCGCGAGGCCAGGCTGCCTGCGCGTGTTCCCCTAGCGTTTGGGCTCAGAATCCCGCCCAAGTTCAAGCCGAAATGGCCTTTTTCCGCAGGGTCGCAAAAAGATCTTCTGAGGAATGTGCCTACTGTGGGGGCCTACGGATGCCCCAGAGATCCATGCTCGCACCGGCAGGCGTCGATTTCGCAGGGCTGCAGAGAAACTTCTGTGGACTGTGCCGATTCTTGGGGTGCCCGCGGATGCCTAAGAGATCCGTGCTCGCGCCGGCAGGCGTCGGCTTGGCACGGCCGCAAGGGAACTTCTTTGGAATGTGCACATTCTGTGGGTGCCCCAGAGATCCATGCTCGCGCCGGCAGGCGTGGGTTTCGCAGGGCCGCAGACGAACTTTTGTGGAATGTGCCGATTCTTTGGGTGCTCACGGATGCCCCAGAGATCCTTGCTCGTGCCGGGCACGTCTGTGGAGTGCTGACTCTGTGGGTGCCCACGGCTGCTCCAAAGATCGATGCTCGCGCCGATGGTTTGCCGGGAGCACATGTTGGCGCCTCTTAGGCTCTGGATGCAAGACCCGCGTGCGCGCGCAGGATTCTTTAACTCGCTTGAGAAGTAGCATACACCTAGGAAAGAGGATCCTGCGGCGGCCCACGGTGCCAGCGGGAGTACCGTTTTGAAACACCTCGAGAATTCTGACTGGAAAGGGCAATCCAAAATATCAACGCTTGATGTCAGCCAGCGCAGGCTCCAGAGATCAGAGTGGACTAGAGTGGACTGGACCAGAGTGGACTGGAGAAGACTGGACTGGATTGGAAAAACTGAACTAGACTGGACTGGACTGGATTGGAATTGGGTTGCGAAAGACTGGGAGAAGAAAAATGAGGAGGAGCAGTGGGTCACACACAGGCCGTCTTCGTCGAAGACGTGAAATGCAAAGGGAAGCTGTTTCTGCCAGTCACGCGCTCGGAAGTCAACATCGCCAGAGCTCCAGCGCCTCTGCTGCAAGGAAGACGCCTCGTAGGCGGCAAGGCAATCGACAGGCAGCGACTGCCCGACCCCTCTCTGCGGAGTTAGCCGCGCTCTCCCTCGGAAGCCATGCGACTCGCTACTGGTTCGAGAGGCCGGAGCAGCGCGACGGAGAGGAGAAGAGCCCGGCGCGATGGTGGGCTGAGCCGGACAAGGCGCGCACAACAAAAAAAATAGGTGGCACAGGGCCCGCTTGGGCCTACGAGAAACCAGAAGGGGGCGCACGCAGTCGGAGCAGGTCCACGGGAGCCTGTGCCAAGCGCATCGAGCGAACCTCTTCACGGATGGCCCAAAGGCCCCGCGGGCGCACAGAGGTCACCGCTGCTGGCAGGCCTCGCAAAGAGGCTCCAGCCATGGCGAGCCGAGGCGCGGCGTGTGCCACGCAACAATGAAGGGGCCCTGGGACACACTAATGAATACACACAAATAACAGGATTCCCCATATTTTCCCCTATTTTTTGGATTTTCGTCTTCCCCCCCACTTCCCATGTTTCCCTACCTAGGCTCTGCCTAGAAGGGTTCTTACTCTCTATCTTAAAGGGGCCGGGCAGTGGAAACCGCCTCGGGCGGTTCCCCCAGGATCCGCCCCGAGGTTCCCCCAGTCCCCTGGGACCTTTAGCTTTAGCTTTAGCTTTAGCTGTAGCTGTAGCTTTAGCTTAGCTTTAGCGTAGCTTTAGCTTAGTTGTGGTTTAGCTTTAGCTTAGATTTAGCTAACTTAGCGTTAGCTTAGCTTTAGCTTAGTGTTAACTTAGCTTTAGCTTAGCTTTGGCTTAGTGTTAGCTTAGATTTAGCTTGGCTGTAGCTTAGATTTAGCTTAGATGTAGCTTAGCTTGAGCTTAGATCTAGCTTAGTGTTAGCTTAGCTTTAGCCTAGCTTTAGTTTAGATTTAGTTTAGATTTGGCTTAGCTCCAGCTTTGATGTAGTTCAGCTGTAGCTTAGTTTTAGCCTAGAATTAGCTTATGGTTAGCTTAGATGTAGCTTAGCTTTAGCTTAGCTTTAGCTTAGCTTTACCTTAGCTGTAGCTTAGATTTAGCTTAGTGTTAGCTTAGCTTTAGCTTAGCTTTAGCTCAGCTTTAGTTTAGCTTTAGCTTAGCTTTAGCTTAGCTTTACTGTTACTACTAATGCTGCTTTCCTAGGGGCTCCAACTCCTAGGTAGGGTCGCACTGGGATAAGTTCCCATTATGTTCCTGGGAATCGACGATCAATTGTGTCTGTGTTTTTTCCCCTCCTGAAACAAGCTTGGGCACACCTGAGAACCTGGACAAGATTGGTCAGGTGGCGGAGGAGCTGGAGGCGAAAGAGGGACCAGGGCCAGCAAGCTGGCCCAGAGGCCTCGCCACGGGGCAGCGCGGGGCGGCAGCGCCTCGGAGGATCGTGCCCCAGCGAAGACAGGCACGGGCCTGGCTCGGAGCCATCGCTGGCACAAGCAGCAGGGCAACCATCAGGACGACCATCAGGCAACCCATCGGGACAACCGTCGGAACAACCGTCGGGGCAGCCAGCGGCACCATCATCGGAACAACCATCGGGACAACCGGCGGCACAAGCATCGGGACAACCATCGGGACAACCATCGGGACAACCATCGGAACAACCATGCGACAACCACGGGGCAACCACGCAACGAACACGGGACAACCACGGAGCAACCACGGGACAGCCGCGGGCACCCCGACCCGCAGGCGGCGGGTCCGAGGCAAAGGGTGGCTCCCGGCCAGACCCACAGGATTGATCTCCCTCGCTCTCTTGCAGCTTCGCCTCGCCCGCACGCACGTCGATCACGAGACGAACAGAAATTGGAATCGATCTCCTGGCCTCCTCCTCCTCCTCCTCCTCCTCCTCCTCCTCATCCTCCTCCTCCTCCTCCTCCTCCTCCTCCTCCGGCTCCTCCTCCTCCTCCTCCTCCTCCTCCTCCTCCTCCTCCTCCTCCTCCTCCTCCTCCTCTTCCTGCTCCTCCTCCTCCTGCTCCTCCTCCTGGAGCTCCGTTTCGCTTCGGTATCAGCTCCAAACCTCCGATCCACCACTTCGGAAACCCCCCTCAAAACCCCAGGAGGCGATGGATATAGACATCTTCTCCCCCCGTGGGGCCCGAATGTGACCATCCCCACTGCAGCCCGAGGCCTTGCGAGATCGGTCCCCCAAGTGGAGGATATGTACAAGCGCTTGCCTCAGAAACAGGAAGGAGGGCGCACCATCTCTCCGGTCGTTCCCTCCTTGAAGAGCTTCCGGATGTTCGCGGACGCCGACGACGACCCAGAGGGAGACGGCCTGGCGGCCCGCGGCAGAGAGGGCGGCAGGGCTGTCCCAGACCTCCTGCCCCGCCCAACACCAATCTGTCCTCGATCTGTCCCTCTTGGCGGCGCGCTCAAGGGAGCAGGAAAATTCGGCATCGAATCAAGGACTCTGGTCGGATCGGAACGTATCGGAACGTGCATCGAATCGGGCTGCATCTGCACGGAATCGAACTCGAACCGAATCACCCGCGCCAGGGTGCTAGAGGCCTCCCAGATGGGATCGGAGTAGATGGGTTCGAAGGATCGCGCCGCATCGTCGATGCATCGGCGACGTCGGCATCGAGCCCCATCGCCGATGCATCGGCGATGCGGCACGATCCTCCGACCCTGCCTATTCTGACCCCACCTCGGAGGCCTAGAGGTGCACAACAGCGCCCTGCAAGCATCGGGCCAGTACCGCGCCCAGGCCTCTCAGAGGGCAAGTCCCAGGTGGCTAGGGCCACCAGGGAGGTCTTCGGGGCCGCGCTGGCCACGCCCCGAGCCCGGGCCTGCCACGAAGTCCCTCGCCCGAACCCGGGTCGGCGGAGGGGAAAGCTGCAGCATTGTTGGCGTCACGTGGCCCGATGAAGCCGGACAGCTCTCCGGCTGTGACTACGCAGTTGCTTCCGCCTGAATATGGGACGATGCCGAATGCTGAGCGTACCTTGCACTCGTGACAATAGCATCGGGCTCGCCCAGCGCTTTAGCGAAGCTGGGAGCCCACATGACCTGAGGGGGCCTTTACACACGTTTTTAAACGTCATTCTGAGATGCCAGAAATCAGCGTTCCCCCCCCCCCCCCCGACACTCTCTGACAGTCCGCCGCCCCCCCGACTGTCTCTGACAGTCCCTCCCCCCCCCCCCGACAGTCGCCAGCCCCCCCCCCCGCCCCCCCCCCCGCCCCCCCCCCCCCCCCCCCCCCCACCCACCCACACCTCCCACCCACCCCCCACTCCCCCACACCCGACCTCCCCCGCACACCCCATCCCCCCGCACCCCCCCTCGCACCCCCTGCTTCCCCCCTGCTCCCCCTCCCCCATCACCCCTCCCTCCCCACTCACATCCTCCCCCCCCCCCTCGTCCCCGCCTCCCCGCCCCCCCACCTCATCCACCTCCCCTCTCCCGCCCCACCCACCCCTCCCTGACCCCCACCGCTCCCTTACCCCCCGCCGCCCCCCTCCCTCCCTTACTCCCCCCTACCCACCCCCACGTTCTCCCTACCCCCCTCTCTCCTTCCCTCCCCCCAACTTCCTTGCCACCTCCCTACTGCAAGCACTCCCGCCGCACACCCGTTCCGCCTTCCCGTCACGCCCGCCATTCGAACATGAGTGACACCCCGTCAGCCCCCCGTTCCCCCACCCCTGGCCGCTACATGTCACCGAACGGCCTTACGGCCCGCCCTTCAGGGCGAGGGGATGCAGCACGTTGGAGGCAGGGGATGACAGAGAAAAGAAGTAGGCGGATGAGGAAGGAGGAGGAGGAAGAAGAAGAACAAGCGGAGGAGGAGGAGGAGGAGGAGGGGGAGGAGGAGGCGGAGGCGGAGGCGGCGGCGGAGCAAGAGGAGGAGGAGGAGGGGGGGAGAAGGGGGGTGGGGAGAAGAAGGAGGCCCCTCCCCTAGTCCACATACCAGTTGATTCGCGTCTGGGGTCCTAGACGGGCCTGGCTTCCACTGTTTCAACGCGTAGTGTTCTTGGGGAGTCTGAATATGCGTATGTGGTTGTATGCGTGCGTGTTCGTGCGAGTGAACCGTTCTATTTGCCTAGCGTGCACTTTGCCTTGTGTGAACTGTTGTTCAAAGTACGTTCGTGCGACGAAAGTGCGTGCATGTGCGTGTCGCTCGCACGTCGCTCTTCTTTTTGGAACAGAGAGGGAGGAGGGTGAATATACAAACCTAGGAACGGGCCAGAGGTTACCAGCCGTTCACGAATTTATCCAAAAAGCCGCAGTAGCAACCGAAGCAGCAGGAGCAGGAGCACGAGGACAAAACCTGCTTCGACGCAAACAAGTTCAGCCTCTCTGAGGGGAGGACAACACACCCCCACACCCACCACGGACACCCCTCTCCCGACGGGGTGATCCAGGGATTCGGGATTCAACCCCCAAACAGCTCGCCTCCACCCCCTGGTCGGGCTGGGGGGCCGTGGTGGGTGTGGGGGTGTGTTGTCATCCCCTGACTCTCCCCATTGAGGCTGCGGGCCAAACCCTTGCTCTCCTTCGAGAGGCGCGCCGAAGCGCCAGCGCGGGGCCCAAGCGCCAGCGCGGGGCCCAGGGGCTAAAGGGGATCGAAAGCTCCGAAAACCAGCCCTCTATAGCCAACCACCACATAACACTGGTTTCCGATGGACATCATGTTCACGTTGTGGGATGTCCTGTGATGGTTTGGCTAAATCGGGCGCCTACGTCATGGGCCCAGCGTGCTCGAGAGAGGACTGGCAGCAACACAGGAGGGAGGTCGGGCGTTTCTAAAGGTGCCCCCAGGAGTTCCAGGGAACCCAGGGTGCCCCCAGGGTGCCCCCAGGAGTTCCAGGGAGCGGGTTCATCACTCACGAGGTTCAGGGAGCCCGGAGGGTTCCAAAACGGCGCGAAACGTCGAAGGCTTTTTGGGTTAGGGACACCGTTGGCAACGCCCGAGGAGGAGCGAGGGAGGGGCTGGATCACGCTGCTGGTGCTGCTGGGGCTGGGGCGGCTGCATCTGACGACGCTGCGCCTGCGGCCGCACCGCCGCTGCTGCTGGCTGCCGCGCCACCGCTGGCTGCGGCCAGGTCAGCGCCGCCGCTCTTGTCGCCGCCGCCGTCCTTCGGCTCAGGATGGGCGGCCGCCCCGGCCTTGGCCGCCTTGGCCGCCTTTCGGGTCGGGCGAAAGGGGGGGATAGCAAAGGGGGGGGTGAGAATCAGCTCACGTAGCTGATTTTCCCGGCCCCTCCTGGCGCCGAGAGGCGCCCATGCATCGAGGAATGGGCCCCTCGGTGAGGCCGAAACCAGCTGCATGCAGCAAATTTCGTAACCCCCCCTTTCCCAATCCCCCCCTGTCGCCCGGCCCGAGCCTTGGCCTTGGCCTTCTTGGCCGGAGACCGCGGCTCCTCAGCGCCCGCGGGCGCCGGGGGGGGCTCGCGCTTCTTGCAGGCCTCCGAGAGCGCAATCACAGAGCGGCGCGCCTGAGGTAAAGGGGAAAGCTGCAGCAGAGACGAGGTGGTGTAAGTCCCTGGTAGTTGTTTTCGTCGTTGCCTCCTCATGCCTCCTCCTCCTCCGCCTCCGCCTCCGCCTCCTCCATCTCCTCCCTCCCGCTACTCCCTCCTAGCTCCCCCCTCATCCCTCCGTCGTCCCCCCTCTTTCTCGCCATCGTTGTTCTCGTTAGAAACTTACTTCGGCGGGGCGCACAGGAAGTGCGGGGAAACCGGCAGCTTCTGCAAAGAATGGGCACTTCAAAGAACCCTCCGAAGGAAAGCGACCCCTCATTGAAAGACCCCCCCCGCTAACGCACCCTGGGACGCGCCGCCAGTTCCTAGTCCATTTTTTTTGTTGGGAGCCTAATGCCTTAAGCACGTCCTTCGTCTTGGGCGACTCCATGCCGCGAAGGCAGCGGTTGATAAGGCCCACACGGGTCTCATCTTTCCGTAGGTCGCGCCACGAAGAGATCATCAGGAGGGCGCTCGCTGCGATGGACCCTGCGCGCAAGACAGTAGCATTGCTGGAAACCGGGTCCTCAGTGAACACATCCACGCACAAGGCCCGCGCGGTGCATGCATCTTCGCAAAGCCACCTCACGCAGCAGTAAAGTGCCTTGACCCCTGGGGACGATGCTTGCGCGTGGAGGGTACCCCTTTGAGTCTCATCGATGGCAGCCTTCGAGATCTCTTCCTCAAAACTAGTCTCATTAGTGAACTCGTCAAGTTTGTCGTCTAAGTCGTTGATTACCCGATCGAAGAAACCCATAGCCATTGCCTCGATCTTAGTCGACTGAGTCCCAATGGTGCTCTTGACAACTTCCAAGGCAACGTTGGACATCCGATCGGAATCTTGGTTAAAACCCCACTTTGCACAGAACTCCTCCAGATGTCGCTGCGAGCTGCAGAGTGCCTTAGCCTGCGTAAGAGCGCTGGTCACAACGTTCAGGCAAGTGCCCCGGAACTCGTCGGTCAACGCCTGACTCTCGTGATCCTTGGTGGGGTCATTGATTTCCTTGATCTTTGCCGCGTGCAAGAACGGTGCCCACAGAAGCGCATCCAAATTGGCAACGACGTCCGCCTTCAACTCGCGGCGTTGGATATGCATCACAGGGCGGCACACATCCAGAAATCGCTGAGAAACCTGGGGGTCAAGAGCGAGTTTAGGTTAGTGTGGATTGCTTGCCCCCCTGGCCCTGGGTCCTCGGGCGGTCGGGCGCGCGCCATCGCCGTCGGAAGGGGCGGGGGCGGGGGCGGGGGAGGAGGAACGGGGAGGGGGAGCAGGGCCCGGAGCAGGAGCAGGAGCAGCAGGAACAGGAGGAGGAGGGAAGGAGATGGGGAAGTTCAGTCGGAAGGTTAACCACCCCGTGCCACATGCAATCCAGAGTAGGAGGAAGAGTATTCGTTTCGGGAGGGCAGCGAGGAGATCAGCGAAGAGAAAAAGGAGGAGGTGGAGGAGGAGGAGGAGGAGGAGGACCTCAGGAGGAAGAGGAGGGGAAGGAGGGGGACCAAAGAGAAAGAGGAGGGACGATGCGGATGACGAGGGAGGGGCAATCAGCGACAGCAGCAGCGGTGGAACCTCTTGTGCCTGGAAAACAGTGAGATCGGAGACCGCGATTCGGTCAGTCTTCAAGTGTGCCGATATGTTGGTTTCCTCCAGGTCCCCGAGCCTCTTCGCGTCATCATAGAAGGCGGTGAAAACGGAATCTCCAGCGATGTAGTCCCAGGCCCTCTTCGTGAAGAGGTCGCATATGTCCTTCGAGGCTTGCAAAAAAGGCCTTCAATCTGAATCCCACCAGCCCTCCGGGCGACAGGTGGTCAAAGGAGTTTCA